TCTAGTTTCCCTTCAACGAAATAAAGAAAATTTGTTGCTTATGACCATTGTTAGTTCTTTGGTTTTATTTTATTTTTCAGAGTTAACTGTGGTAATTATAACTTGTGTGAGCTCTTTAATATTTTTAGAGATTATAGTAGTTGCAAAACTCTGTGACTCTTTGGTCATTTGTTTTCAGAGTTGACAGTTGGTATCAGAAGTGGGATCAGAAAGTGAATAATTACCTTCTGCCCTGACCCCAGTGCAATCTGAAGTATGGTACCTACAGGGGGTCCATTGAGTTCCACTCAATTTGAACTTGAAGAGTGGCAGTGGATGATTTTCCTTCTCTTAGTCCCAACCTCCTGTCTTTGATTGAGCTCCACTCCCTTGGAGGATTGAAACTTTGGTTGTTGCTACTGAAGACAGGATTCATCTGTCTCTTCTTGGTGAAGTCTCTTGACTTCCTGGATCAGATACCTTTGTGTTTGTTTCCTTTTGGTTGTAATATGGGAAGCTTGGTGACCAAGAATGAGCCAGCAAAAAACTTGGCTGTATTTAGTCCATGGAACAGATACTTACAAGTTTCTTAATTGGCATAGTTTGACATTGTTGACCAACTTGGGGTTCTTTTGATTGGGATAAAATAAATTACCTTAAGAAATGTTTTGATGAAGTTAACAAGAAAATTAAATACCCCAAATGGGATATTTTTAATAAATTGCTACTTGCAACCACCAAACAAGAAACCTTTTGTAACTTAGATTCCCTTAAGAAAAGCTCAGATAGAATCATCCTGTCTATGTGTCTGTCTTGTCTTTTGTCTGTGTCTATGTCTTGGTAAAATGTAAAACGTAGGTGTGTTTGTGTTATTTGTATATTCTATTACCTTGAATGATATCTAAAAAAGAAAATATAGCTGGTCAGAAAAACTGCTAAGGGCTGTAGCCAAAGAGTTTAGAACACTGAGAAAGATTAATGAACTTTCATACTTGAAGCAGTTGTCCCAGTAATCAGAACTAACTCCCACTTTAGGCTTTCGGTGGGAGATTGAAATAAGAAAAGAGAGAGAGAAAAAAAGAAAAAAACCTGCAAAACACTTTTTTTGGTCATTTCAGCTTTGGTCATGTTGGAATTATAGAAATAAAGTCAGATAATCAAAGACTATGAATTGCTAAAAAAAAATCTTAGCTGTTTAAGGAGTTTGGAGATTAATCATTTTGAAGACTGCAAAGGAGAATTCCTGGAATTTTCAGTAATTCTAGGAATTACCTTTCTGAAATAGCTTAGTAAGTTTTGGGGTGCTCCTCTGTAGAATTTGTTTTAAGGAAAAATAAGAATTAATCTCTATTAAATTCTATAAAAGTAAATGGCACTTAAATAATTTTTTCTCCTGAAGATTAACAGCCTCATTGTTTTAGGTCAATGAAGGAAGGCAGCTAGTTTGGAAGGAATTTCAGAGTGAAGAAAAAAAAAATTAGGTATATGGTTAGCACTTTATAGCCACTTCTTCTTGACCCTTACTTGATCATGAAAACAGAAAAGATTGTGTTTAAACCAAAGATCTCCTGTGACACCACTTCCACACCCAGTTCAAAGACCCTCTCCCTCTGATCCTGTCAATGCCTCTCATTTTAGATGAGCTCCCAAATAAAGATACTAAAAAAAAAATGCTGGAAAAATATAGGGAAACTTGAATTACATTTGGGTTGTAAAAATATATTAGCTGTGTTATCTTAGGCAAGGTATTTTATCTCTGTTTGCCTCAGTTTTCTGATCTGTAAATAGAAAAACAATAATTGTACCCACCTCCCAAGGCTGTTGTGAGGATCAAAATAACATAATGATTGCAAAGTGCTTATAGTGACTGAATATGCCAAGAACTATAATTAATTGAATGTAATTTTCCATGCCTGATAAGTCTAAAGTGGATTTAAAATGCCAAAGGCAATAAGATTAATAATTTTTGTATGGGATAATTTGGAAATGCAATTAACTGAATTGATGTCATCTGAAGTTTTGTTTCATGTTTTAAACATGATGCTATTTGTGTTATTATTGTATTTCTAAATTTCTCTTATATTGTGAAATTTGAGGGACCATTGTAACAAAAATGCTGTTAGACAAAATAATATCCCCTTTTAATCTGGATTCTGTTAGATTTTAAGTTGGGCTTTTAAAAGGATGTGATAAAAATAGGTATTTGAAAACTATTAAATATTTAATGAGATGTATTTTGTTATAAAAAATAAAAATAGGAATAAGTTTACTATGATGTCAAATTTTCATTTGAAAATTTTTGACTATTATGAAAATGTATAGGGTGGTTTAAAGATGTTTAAAGACACTAATCTCCTGAGATTAAAATGCCATTCCACCATTGCTAAGGGGAAGGGGCTAACAAATTGTTAGATCTGCCACCTTAACTAACCTAAGCCTACATATATCCCTCTACTCAATATCTGGACTCTGGTGGCATCTTGGCTTACACCTGCCTCTCCTTTGTTGGCCATAAAGGAAAGGGTTCTTTTAGACCCTCTCCCTTTGACCAAAATGGGTAAATGTCAAGAACTCCATGCCAAGACTACCACTTTCTTTTTACTCCTCTCTTTTTACTATTAGGAGACACCCTGTTTTCCAGAGCTTAAGGCTCAGCAAGTAAGCTGTACCCTGAGCCTAGCATGAAAATAATTCTTTGTGTCCACCCTTTTGATGAACTCTGCTGCAACTAAATCACAGAACCGATTGCCCCTGAGCTTGGGCGAGCACCAACATAAAGCCCTGCTATGAATGGACTTTTGGCTACTAGGTAACCTTGCCTCATTGTTGGCTGCTATGTCTCACCACTGTTGCAATACCATACTGTTTGAGTCTTCATCCAACCATAAATATACATACATACACACACACACACACACACACACACACACACACACACACACACACATATATATATACATACACACATATCAAGGTTTAGCCTCACTGCCTTGGGCCTCCTCCTAGAGGAGATCCCGGCACATGTGTCTAGTTTCCCTTCTCCAATGGAATAAAGAAAACTTTTTGCTTATTACTACTGTCAGCTCTTTGATTTTATTTTGTTTTATTTTTCAGAGTTAACTGTAGTAGTGATAACCTATGTGAGCTCTTTGGTATTTTTAGAGTCAACAGTAGTTGCACTCTGTGACCCTTTGGTCATTTGTTTTCAGAGTTAACACTTCTCAACCCTTCTGTTCTATTTTATAGGAGTGAGGGGAAAGGCAAAAAACTGCCCCTTCCTAAATGCTAGAGTACGTCCTTTTTAAAGGCTTTTAGAAGTATAGCCCAGTGAATAGATAACTCTTCATTAATTTCATCTAGAATTTCTTCATACTTCATAAAGGGGTAATAGATTACAGTCATGCTTGGTACTTTCTTTAACATCTTACATCATGCTGTCTCTGTTACCTGTCCTTTCTGACATTTTAACAACTAGGCTGAGGAGGTAAGGGGGAAAAATCAATTGAGTGAGGCTTTCTAGATCAAATCACCCCACATTCACATTAAAATTTGTTTAGGAAGTATTTAAATAATCTTTCCTTCCTCAGATCTCAAATAACATATTGTTTGTTATAAACAGGTACTTTTTCTTAGTGGGAATGGTATCTGAATCTACACATAGGCCTTGGAGTCAAGAAAACCTGGGTTCAAGCCCTATTTCTAACACACGCTAGCCATTAGCAAGTCCCTTAATTTAGGTACCACAGGCAACAGATGTAAAACTAAAAGTTACAGATGATTTGCCACTCTGAATTGGTGAAAGAATTTTACAAATTGGGAATTCCATTCACAGAATAAAGACACATTGAGCACAGTGCTGCATCAGACTTTTAGGACCCCTGTATTTTTTACTTATTTTTAATTGTGGTTATGTCTATACAAGCTCCCTAAGAGCAAGGATCTTATTTTATTCAATTCAGTCCAATTCGATATAATCTACTCTAATTGAATCATGATACAAGCTACTATTAGAAAACAAAGCTACATGGGGCAGTTAAGTGGCGCAGTGGATAGAGCAAGGGCCCTGAAGTCAGGAGGACCTGAGTTCAAATTCAGCCTCAGACCAAACACTTGATACTTGCTAGCTGTGTGACCCTGGGCAAGTCACTTAACCCCAAATGCCTAAAACAAACAAAGAAACAACAACAACAACAAAAAAAAGCCACAGAAAAGCAGATTTTTCCTGATGCTTTTATTCAAAAAGTGCCAATTCTAATTGCCACATGATTACATTATCTGCCCGCTGCTGCTCCTTTCCAGAAATGTATAGCTACCTAAGGAATAAGCTACCTAAAATATATATATATATGTATATATATATATATATATACACATATATATACATAAAATATGTGATATAATATATATTATGTGTGTGTGTGTGTGTGTGTGTGTGTGTGTGTGTGTGTGTGTGTGT